TTGGTGTAGAAGCAATTATTTAATAAATAATACAGATAAAACAACATTTATCCAGTGTTCAAGTAAGTATCAGCGCCCTCTCCAAATAAATTTAAAATACACATCGAATATTTGTGCACTTCTCTGAAAAAAAACGTATTTTGTTTTCTTAACAATGAAATCAAATTTTTTGAGACATAATCTCTTGGATATATACTATGGTCTAGTGTATTCTAAGCTTAATACAAATATTACCACTTGGGGACACTCATCAGAAATAAATAGAATATTTATAATGCAAAAACGTTTCATTAGACTAATTTTTGATCTCAAATACTAGAAATACTAAATACTAAAAATAAATAATTTTTGTATTCAAAGACAAAAAAATGTTCACATTACCATGTATTTATCTTTACAAAATATTGAGCTACGTTCATGTACATTCCCATTTGCTAACAAGAAATGAGAAAATTCACTCTCATCAGACGAGACGGAGAAACGACTTCCATCAAGTAAAAATAAACCGTAATAAGTACAAAGGTTCGCCACTTTATGCCGGTGCAGAATATTTTACCACACAGCATCAGAAGTCAAACAAATTTTCTCAAATTCAAGAAAAAAGTCAAAGACTTTTTGGTAACAAGTTGTTTTTATTCCCTGAAAGAGTATGGAAATAATATTTTTGTGTAACATGTGTTGTTATTGATATAAGTAATATTAGATAAATTATCTTTTGTAAAATGTGACGTGTCATATATACATTCTTGTATGAAAAATTATGAATAAATTTGATTTGATTGATATTGATTTGAGTAAGCATATCATCAGACTGATTAATTTGAAGGTAAAGCAAGCTCACTGCGTTTGCTCAGGGCACATGGTCTAGCTGTTCTTGAATTTTTTTTTTACCATAGTATGCGCTGGTCAGGCCCTATCCCCCGAAGCCCCGATACATTCGGGAGTGCGCGCCAGCATTATCAACCAACGACCACTCCCACACCGTGGAGTGATCATTGGTTCCGAGAATAATGTGCCCTGAGCAAGTGCAGTGAGACAAGAATGTCAGCCTTCTGCATCTATCCGGCTAAGATTTCTGCCTTAGTGTGGCAAGCCGGTATGATTATAAGATTCGAGAGTAGAGGACCAAGGACTCCAATAATTAGAACAACCATCTTGACAGCGTGGTCCGGATAGAGTCAGCAGATTTCGAAGAGAAAATCTCAATATTTTATTCGTTTTTCCTCCTCTTTTCGGACGATATTCGTCTCGCCAGGAGCTGAAAACTTCACGACAAATATTGACTCGCTCATGTGGTCAAGAAGGACTACATCAGGCTTATCAGCTTGTATGAGCCTGAGGGTGGGGAATGAATAAATCCAATACATTCGGCACATTCCCCACAATGGATTCAATATCCCCCGGAGCGTAGGGCAACACCGGTGTCTCGTCAATACCGTAAGAGTGTCGTAGATGGTAATATAGCTCTCTTTGGGTCGGGTTATGTCGATGGATATAGGCCGAGACCGCATATGCTGGACATGCTGGAGCGTAGGGCAACACCGGTGTCTCGTCAATACCGTAAGAGTGCCATAGATGGTAATATAGCTCTCTTTGGGTCGGGTTATATCAATGGATATAGGCCGAGACCGCATATGCTGGACATGCTGATAGCTAGGGCATTGGGGTCTCGGGCGCCTCGCGGCAGGCCCTGCACCTTGTGTCAGGAACCTCTATACCCATCACGCGGCTGCGATAGACTAATGTGTTGAAGACACTATCCTGGCAAGCCATGACGAACCCTTCAGTTTCCGACTTCAGCCCACTGGATCTGAGGACAGCGAAAGTCAGTTTTATTAATATTATTGTTGATAAAATAACATATTTCAATACTTACCATCTTATTCCCGATGAATAAAAATCCGAAATGACCAAAATTATAGAAATTGGTCCAGTTTTTATTATTTTTCTTTTTTACTCACCTTTTAAACCTTTCCTGGACTTCCACAAATAATTCAAAACCAAAATAAAAATATCTTTTGTAAAATGTGACGTGTCATATATACATTCTTGTATCAAAAATGATGAATAAATTTGATTTGATTGATATTGATTTGAGTAAGTATATCATCAGAATGATTAATTTGAAGGTAAAGCAAGCTCACTGCGTTTGCTCAGGGCACATGGTCTAGCTGTTCTTGAATATTTTTTTTTACCATAGTATGCGCTGGTCAGGCCCTATCCCCCGAAGCCCCGTTACATTCGGGAGTGCGCGCCAGCATTATCAACCAACGACCACTCCCACACCCTGGGGTGATCATTGGTTCCGAGAATAATGTGCCCTGAGCAAGTGCAGTGAGCCAAGAATGTCAGCCTTCTGCATCTATCCGGCTAAGATTTCTGCCTTAGTGTGGCAAGCCGGTATGATTATAAGATTCGAGAGTAGAGGACCAAGGACTCCAATAATTAGAACAACCATCTTGACAGAGTGGTCTGGATAGAGTCAGCAGATTTCGAAGAGAAAATCTCAATATTTTATTCGTTTTTCCTCCTCTTTTCGGACGATATCCGTCTCGCCAGGAGCTGAAAACTTCACGACAAATATTGACTCGCTCATGGGGTCAAGAAGGACTACATCAGGCTTATCAGCTTGTATGATCCTGAGAGTGGGGAATGAATAGTTCCAATAAATTCGGCACATTTCCCACAATGGATTCAATATCCCCCGGAGCGTAGGGCAACACCGGTGTCTCGTCAATACCGTAAGAGTGCCATAGATGGTAATATAGCTCTCTTTGGGTCGGGTTATGTCGATGGATATAGGCCGAGACCGCATATGCTGGACATGCTGATAGCTAGGGTATTGGGGTCTCGGGCGCCTCGCGGCAGGCCCTGCACCTTGTGTCAGGAACCTCTATACCCATCACGGGGCTGCGATAGACTAAGGTGTTGAAGACACTATCCTGGCAAGCCATTATGAACCCTTCAATTTCCGACATCAGCCCACTCGATCTGAAGACAGCGAAAGTCAGTGTTATTATTATTATTGTTGATAAAATAACATATTTCAATACTTACCATCTTATTCCCGTTGAAGAAAAATCCAAAATGACAAAAATTATAGAAATTGGTCCAGTTTTTATTATTTTTCTTTTTTACTCACCTTTTAAACCTTTCCTGGACTTCCACAAATAATTCAAAACCAAAATTAGCCAAATCAGTCTGGCCGTCTCCCTGTTATGGCGAGACTAACGAACAGAAATCCATTTTTATAAATTGGATAATAATAATAATAGAACTCAAAAATAGCTGACCGAAATTTTATGATTTTTGGATTTGTCTTCATTGGAAATAGGGTAATAAGTATCGAAATATGATATTTCATCAATAGAAATAATAATAATAAAAAAGTCAAAACATCGGTCGGTAGGTAGCCGGGCGGTTCGACGTGGGTGCTTTGTTCACTCAGTCAATCGGCCGATATGTGAGTCGATGATTCACTCTATTTTCACTCGCTATCGTCCAACCCATGTTAGGAATCATACGTTAAAAGGTAAGACCTCGTTAGTCCTTAGCTCGTACAAGTTTCAGCTTCTGAAGGTTGTCGTTCGTAGGGGTGCGATAGCTGGTTAATGGAAAATACATATTTTAAACATAATATAACACATTTTAAATATAAGTGATAATAGTGACGTGTTATAATAAAACGCTACTAAAAGCTCACATGTATATCACAGGGTGCTTTACTGAGGTGAGCACTCTTACTACAAATTCCCATTTATTTTGACATGCTTTTATTAGCTTCACCTGTATGTATGTATGTTTGTATGTTTGTTTGTTTGTTTCTTTGTTTGTTTGTTTGTTTGTTTCTTTGCTTGTTTGTTTGTAACTCTCCTTTTCATTTCATGTTTATTACCGTTTGACTGGTCGGGATCTGTATTTGACAGAATTATCGACATTATTGCTTGATCTATTCGCGGGCAGATGGCAGATTCGAACTCACTTTACATGTATTTCTTCATTTGAAAAAAGTGTTTTTTCATTAACACGGGCGCATTCTTCTTTATTTGTAACCCTCTTTTGCGCTCCTACTGCTTTGGCCTTGGTAGCTGATATTCAGGCTTCCTCTCCGGAATCGGAAAATATCAATGGTCATTTTTCAAAACAATATACGGTTGATTGATCCCAAAGTTTAGATAAAATAAATATAGTTCAAAAAGAATAAAAAACACGCTTTTATAGCATACGAAACTAAATAAATGAAAACTAAATGAAATATAAAAAATTGCTCATTCACTGACTGTTAGGCGCAACAACGTTATTCCAATTAGCGGAAACTTTAAGGAGAGAATTCTCAATTAAGGGAAAGTGTATCCTGTTAGATATAAAGACCCGTCTCAGAATCAGGAATAACTTCACTTCATCTCCTGAAGACACCAACTTGGTTGGTAAACCGCGCGTCGAGAAGAGTGATGCAAATCTTGTGTTTGGAAAACGTGCTCGTTTTGAATTTATTCTACGTTCTATCTTTTATTATAAGTGACGTATTTCAAACTGAAACCAGCAAATAAACACTAATAAAAGTTACTCACCCCTCTCAAAATCTGTCGTTTTCGTGCTGTCAAACGAGCACCCGCACAGGGGATACCCCAGGTTGTTGTCGCAAAGCAAATCACATGCACCGTGTCGTGTGTGGATACTGTAGTTTATAGTAGAGTTTTCCTGATGGAACTGCACGGGCATGTCGGTAGGGACGAGGTCCACGCAGTCTTCCCCGCAGGGGTTTCCTCCCAATCCTGCCATGCAGAGTTCTGCGCATATTTTCCTTTGTCGGCTCCGCGTCACGATTGGGTTCAGGGTCTCGTTGTCGTCTTCTTTGCCGCCGTGGAGGATGTGTCTGGAAACGGCCACGCCCACCATCAGCAGGAGGAGAGGAAAAATCGACGTCCTGCGAAAGGAACATAGTGTTTTTATTCCTGCGAGGGTATGTGACGTGGCGCTTTTACTATCGAGTGGAGGGCGGAAGGGTGACGTTTATGTAATATAATTTCGAGGGCTGATGCTGCAGGAATTTCTTGTTCTTCGGTGGAGGGAATTTTAGTTAAAATATTTCTGTGTGGGCAGTACAATAATATTGATAACGAGTGATTTCTAACACAGTGCAACCTTGATATAACGAAACTGAAGAGACTTAAAAAATAATTCGTCATATCAAATAATTTGAAATGGAATATCTGTCAAAAAACTGTTGATAAATGTGCGGTGGAAAAAACAGAACTAGAATTCTTTCCTACATTGTAATAGTCGTTTTTCAGTAGTGACGGTTATTTTCTTGGGCATCACATTGAACATACAGGAAGTTCAGTTTGAAATTCCAAAATTGGGATCATTTCCTGAGAAACTGAAAATGATACAAAAAATATTTTTGATCTAATCAATCCAAATTATTATAATTTCCAAACTCAGTATAGCTATTGCTCTCCATAGTTTATTGTGATAACTGCAAAAAAATCATGCAAACTCCAGAAATTCAAAACGTCAACTAATTTCATCTCAAATAGCTGTTAGTCGTTATTCACTGCTATCCTAATGATCAACTTCAGTTATCAAAACCATACCTACCGTTGTTTTCATTTTTACAATAACAACAACGATCTGACTCTTCCCTAAGGATCTTCTAGAAAGTTCATGAAATTCGGCTTCAACAATTTCTTGAATTGGTTTACTTTCTTCTGTATCATCTTCTTCTGACCCTATTTCTTGATCTGCTTTCCTATATCCATGAATATCTTCATCCATCCAGGTGTAACATCCAATAACAGAATTCATGTGATTAAATCTTACAATATTTTTGTCGTGAGAAGCATTTCTTGTTATATTTTCATCTGATCTTGACGCTGTTACTAAAATTACAATTCTTGGATAATTTCAACAAGGAGCGTGGTATTGATCCACGGTTTCTCCATGTAGCTGTTTAGCTTTTCTGAAGTTATATATTTCAAACTCAACATTGATTTTGGATTTGAAGTAATTGGATAATTTCAATTTCGCTTTGTTGTACTCATTATCGGAGAATGAAGATGGTGGATCTGGTAAGGATGTATTCAAATCATATGCATCATCTCTAAAGTAATGGAGTAACGCAGCTGTTTTTCTTGATTCTTTGGTAATGTTCATTGCCTGAAGATATATCTCAAAAGATTGGTCCATCTCTCCCATCTAGTTCCAATATTGATTATATCGGATTTAGTATCAGATGATACAAAATTCAAATTGATGATTTTCATTACTGATGTGGGTTGTTATTCTCGTCGCCAAATGTAATATTTGTGTTGGAATATTAATTGAAATTGTAGAATTACTTTTCAATCTTTGTTTATTTTCACAGTTTCCTCATCAGTTAATCAGAAAAGTGACAACTCACAGTCCACTTGACATACAATCATCTTAAACAACATATACAGGATGAAACATTACAGGTACTTCCCGGACAGTTGGTGGAAAAATAATTTTCGTCAAAGAAGCAAACAAATCCATTTTGGTTACAGGAAATTTCGTGAAAAAAAAAACTTTATATACTATACAGAAACCGAACGAAATACTTCATCTGAAGAGGTCCGCTGGATGTTTAACCAGGCGGAAAATGGCAACTTCTGGTGTTGACATCTGATGTTCAATTGTTTGTACGTACGGGAGGGACGTCGAAATGTCAGTGGCGCGGCGTTCTGGATCTGACTGGAATTTATGATGTTTCGAGGGGAGCATGATATATTTACACGGATGATGACACTTATTAAATCGTTTGCTCTACTAATATTTCTGGCTTTACTCTTGTTGGGGGATTGGGTGTGGTATAATTCGAGTACAATTATTTTTTCAGGAAGTGGGTGATTTTAAAAAAGAAAATGAAATGAAAAAAAAAACAAAGTTGGTGTTCAACAGATGAATAGACCATATCGGATAAGGATTTAATTAGAAATACAGTTGGCCACTTTGTCTATGTTTCATAAGTGTCAGTAGTCATGTTAATTGTTCACACCATTACCTCTACTGAGTATCAAGAATACTGAATGGAAAATGAAAACAATATGAATGAAACTGAAAAATGGACAATATCAACATGAACTACATATGACAAGAATTGACATACACACAATGTAGCAAACTAAGAAAAAATTCATGCGCTGTAAACAGTACCCCGATCGATATGGATGAAGAATACATTGAAAACGACTTTCAAACAGCAAAAAATTCAAAAGTGGATAATACAAACATCATTTACATATGGCCGCTGACACTACAGACAAATAGGGGAGCCAGGGGCATGTTGTTACAATTTTTAGATAATGGTCAATATGACAAAAGCTATTAAATAAATTATACATTAGAATTATTTTACCGTTAGTATGTCTATTCAGCTACTAAAATATGATTGGAAAGTTATTGAAATTCATGTAATTTTTTCACTATGGACTATTAACAAAAAAAGTCGATTGTAACAAGTTACCCCCAATTTGAGGCTTGTTGTTACATCGTCTGGCACGATGTAACGGTTTCAAAAAGCATTTTGAAACATGTGAAATATTCAGCCACACTACAGAGACTGAATTTCCCGTCAATTTTGCAATCGAAACTTTGAGTGCTTTGAAGAACTTATATACTCAAGTTAAGTTTTCTTTGTTATCATTTCTGTCGTTAATTTTTACTTTGCAAGTGAATAAAACCGACTAATTATCATTCTGTGTTTTCTTCTTCAACTTACCACAGCAATAGTAACAACAATTAGGTAATCATTGGCTGTCGCAAGCCAGATTGATGACAGTAAATCATTGGCTGTCGCGGGCCGGATTGATAACACTGGCGGGCCGGATTTGGCCCGCGGGCCGTAGTTTGGAGACCCCTGATTTATGAATACACAAATGACAGGTTGACTATAATCGAGTAATTTATAAATTTCAGCAGTCTGTGTGAATATAGCGTCATCAGTTGATAATCCTCGAAATCCGAATTGACAGTTAGATGGTACATTATATCTGGTTAAGTACTTGGAAAGCTTCCTCAAAAGAGTTGGCGAATGTCGTTATTGATGAAATTCATCTGTTATTCTATAGTTATTTTTTGATAACTTTTTATGAATAGATGTGACAACTGATTTTCTCAAGTCTTTTGGACATGTTCAATTCTCAAAGATATCATTCATGAAACTGGCAAGAAGAGGACTTAGTTCATTTCCTATTGCTTTAAATATCTCCGCTTCAATACCATCTATTCTCGGACTCATTCGCTCTTATTGGTTTGATAATATCAATTGCAAGTGAATAAAACCGAGTAATTATCATTCTGTGTTTTCTTCTTCAACTTATCACAGCAATAGTTACAACAATTAGGTAATCATTGGCTGTCGCAGGCCAGATTGATGACAGTAAAAAAGTTGGCGAATGTCGTTATTAATGAAATTCTTCTCAAGTCTTTTGGGCATGTTCATTTCTCAAAGATATCATTTATGAGACTGGCAAGAAGAGGACTCAGTTCATTTTCTATTGCTTTGAATATCTCCGCTTCAATACCATCTATTCTCGGTGGCTCATTCGCTCTTATTCATTTGATAATATCAGTGATTTCTTTTTCATCCACAGGTGTCAGTAGAAACGAATCTGGGAAGCGCCTAATTTTTGGGGAAAGAGTATTAGGCTTATGAATTTTTCTAGCATTATATTTGATAATTCAGTTTTTCCAAACATTTTCCGGAATCATCTTGTCTTGTATGACTTAAATATAGCTTTCTGTCTTCAAAAGGCAGACCATAAATCAAAAAAATTCTTCTAATCTAGGATGTCAGTATATAATCTGTTATTTTTGAACAAACAACAGATAATGCTTCTAACATTATGATATATTACATCAGACGAATCATTGAATGATCTCATGAAAATCCACTTTCAATAACTGGATTGATAACGACAGCGTTGTTAGATAATTTTTTGAATTTATGAATATATCATCTGATGAAAATATTTTGATTCAATTATATAACATCACTTTTGTCTAGAACAAGGTGTATCAAAAATCATGGATCAAATGCGACAAACTTATTTTGTGAGTTATTTTGCAATGCTGCTCCAACTTCTTTTGGCTGGGTTTCTTTTGCAGCTGAAGCGTTATGGAAATTTCGATTCTGAGTAAAAATCTTAGTAACATCTCATTCATATGCTGATAAATACTAGGTCTTCTATTCAAGAAGCGTGGGTGCCCAACGGTTTGAACGATCGACAGAAATTGTCACGTTTTGGAGTATGCTTTCTTTTTCTTTGGATAACCAAAACTATACTTTTTTGGATCGGATCGTCGTGTGTGACAAAAAGTGGATCTCCTACGACAACAGGAGATGTTAAGGGCACCGATGAGCCACATGAAATACCATGATTACTGTATGGTGGTCAGGAAGACTATTACCGCAAGGTGGCAGTGCAAAAGTCGAGGAAAATTAAAAAGATACATTTTGTTGCTAGAATTACTAGACCGATTTCAGAGAAAGTTATATGGTATTGTTCGGGGTGAAAATAGTCTGCTACGATGTTATCATTGTTGATATTCAGCAACAGGAAAGTAGATAACTTTTGAGATTTTTCCGAGACGAAATAACCATACTCTTTACATCATTCTCTTTGATATCTAGGATATGATAGATTGAATAGTAGCCGATACATACAGTATGTCATATACTCAGAAGTGAATTTATATCTGTCAAAGTGTTTACTGTGAACAGAAAAAAATTTTGCTGCTCGTAAATTTCCGATATATTACAAAGTCCATGATCGATTTGCATATCCAAAAAGAATCATTTCAACTGTGAAATTTAAATAAGATTTTATTATTCTTATGAGATGATATTCAAATCGAGTTTATGACGCACAATATGTATATTTTATTTTTTTGAAGGACTTTTTCGTGGAGGAGACAATGTTAATTGCAGTTTTGCGGATTCAGCTTTATTTAGTTTACAGATNTACTTCCAGCTGAATGTA